AAAAAAAAGAAAAGAAAAGAGTCTATTACCAAAGAAGGTTAGGGCGCAAGAAATTCCTACTTCTTTTTTTTTTTTTTGAATCTCACTCTGTCATCCAGGCTGGAGTGCAGTGGCATGCTCACGGCCACCGCTGCCTCGACCTGCTGGGCTCAGGCAATCCTTCCACCTCAGCCTTCCAAGTAGCTGGAACTACAGTCGCACACTACCATGCCCGGCTAATTTTTTGGTTTACGGTAGAGACGAGGTTTCACCAAGTTGCCCAGGCTGGTCTCAAACCCCTGGGCTCAGGCAATCCTCTTGCCTCGGCCTCCCAAAGTGCTGGGTTTACAGGCTTGAACCACCACGCCTGGTTGAAATTCTTACTTCTTTACAGAGCAGATCCTACGCAGGTCTGCCTTGAGTTTCTTTTTGAAGGGAAGGGGTAGTTATTAACATTTGTTGACTGGCTATTATGATCAGACACTGTTCTCATTTAACTCACAGCAACTCTACAATATACTACTCTCTTTTGCTAGAAAAAAATCTGAGGTTAAGAAATGTGAATAAATTGTCCAGGTAAATAAGGGCGAATTTCACATCTGGTTTGAAAAATACCAACTCTTTCTTCAATACTTCACCACTTTAAGAAAATATCTTTCAAATTTTTTTTTTAAGGTGAGTATAGTATTTCCTAATTAAAAGGCACATTAGTCAAAAAGAGTTTTCCAAATTTGACCCTTTGGGAACTGCATAATTCCCACAGCATAGTCTCTGAGGACAGTGTTACACCATATATACAATTGGTGCCTAGTGAAGATATCTATGATCATGTGCAAGATTCCCTGATAAGAATTCTATTTTTAAGTATAAATATAAATTTTGAAGATTCTTACACTTTTAAAAAAGCTGCTTAGGAAATTTCTGGTGCCTGTGTTTTCAGTACTTTCCAGAGACTGCTGGTGAGCAAGATGTATCCTCAAACATCCAAGTGGGTTTAGAGCAAGTCCCCAGGGGTAGAAAGCAACACGACAAAAATAACACGTGATATAAATACCTTCAGTTAGTTATTGTTGTTTTAGTCTTGAAAACTTAAGGAGTCTTAAAAGAACACTAAAAGTACCACCGATTAGGTGCAGCTGAGAAAAAGAAAGCAAGGCACATTAAGGGAACAATAGAGTCAGAAATAAACAGTAGTCTTAGAGGAGTACATGGGATAATTTATGTAAAGTGTTTTGCAAGCCGGGCGTGGTGGCTCACGCTTGTAATCCCAACACTTTGATAGGTTGAGGCGAGAGGATTGCCTGAGCTCACGGGTTTGAGACCAGCCTGGGCAACATGGCAAGACCTCGTCTCTACAGTAAATAAAAAAATTATCTGGGTGTGTTGGCACACGCCTGTAGTCCCAGCTACTTGGAAGGCTGAGGTGAAAGTCTCGTCTGAGCCCAGCAAGTCGAGGCTACAGTGGCTGTCAGTGTACCACTGCACTCCAGCCTGGGTGACAGAGTGAGACTTCAACTTAAAAAAATTTTTTTAAATTTTTAAAAAGTACTTTGCTTAGGTATAGAGCACAGAAATATCGTAAATGCTAGAGAAACAATAGTATATAAAAATATCCCTTGCTCTTTGTGACTAGGCTTTAAAATAGGCAATTGTAATAAGAGTAACTACCAGCTAGAAAGCACATTGTGGCTGTGAATTCAAACCCCACCAGTGACCAGTGTCTCAAAAGTAATAACTTCCCTTTGTAATCATCTTTCCTGCAACCCACTGAAATACATGTTATTGTTCCCATTTTGCAGGTGTGAACACTGCAGGAGGTTAAGAAATTACATGGCTGGGGACGGTGGCTCAGCCTATAATCCCAGCACTTTGGGAGGCCAAGGCGAGAGAACTGCCTGAGCCCAGAGGTTCGAGACCAGCCTGGGCAACTTGGTGAGACCTCGTCTCTACAATAAATCACACACACACATACACGCAAGAAAAGAAATTACTCAAGCTCACACAGATGCTAAGTGGCAAAGCTAGAACATGTCATATTTCAAGTCTGTGGTCTTTTTGTCTATGTATTCCTGGGGCTACAGGCCTTTATAACTGTCTTATTTGCTTAATTTTCACCTAGAGAGATATGCTTCCTAAAACATTTTCAATGTTATCATTGGAGGAATTACTCTTGTTAACATTTCCACTTTAAGCTAGGACATCTAGTAACTAGGATGTTTTACATTTTTCATACTGATAGTATTTTTATGGCCCTGAACAGTATGTTCTCACAATCCTGGGCACCCATCCAGGGACTCTCACTCTAATGGGCAGATATGGAAACTGAGGCACAGAGTGATTAAAATGTGTCAGATATTCTCAAGGTCCCTAGTGAATCAGTGGAAAAGCTGAAATTAGAACTCTAATTTTCTGATTCCCAGGTCTATGTCCAGTCCTGAGCTCCATACTTTTTCCCCGGGATGTGACACCACCCTTCTGTGTACCTTCTCTGCCTTCTCCATTCATATCTCTAGGTCTCCTGTAAGTCTCTCCTTGCCTTCTAAGGCATTAACTTGAAAGGTATCTCTGTTTGAGTTTAGAAGAAA